CCACTAACCAATCTGAAAACTAAACAAACAAGCCTAATTCGTCCTAGTCTTATCCAATAAAAAGCTCTCAACTATAGAAGCTCAAAAAACCTCCTCCCCCATTTTGTTGGTAAACACTCTGTTGTCCCTCTCAATCCACGGTGACCATACTACAGGAAAACCACAACACATCCCATCCAAACCTTACTTACATCTTGTTGTATATCATTTTGTTATTATTTATTGATTTTCAAAAAAAAAAAAATCTAAACAGTCATAATAATTTTAAACTCTTTATAGTGAACAGATGAATGTTAAGTAAGTTTAAGGAAATTAATCAGTTTTTGAAGACACTTTTCACATAAACCAATTTATTCTTTTTAAAATTTTTTTAAAACACTTACTTTTGAACTTCAAAGCATGAATTTGGAGGCAGAGACTGGAAAGGAAACAAACAGAAAACAAAAGCAATCAATTTCTCACTTGCAACAATTACACACATCTCAAATAAATATGCTTCCAGGCAGCTAAAGGTTTTCCAGAGCAAGATTCTTTCTTCCTTTTTTTTACAAAGGGCTTGGGGTTGAGCTAAGTTTTTTTCACATAAAAGCATCCCATTGTGACAGCAGCAACTTGGGTATTGTTAAACCTTATCAAGGTTTTGGAACCTTATCATCTGGGTAGGGGTTTGGCCTGCCGTCAGACAATCACTGAATTTAGGGTGAAACTTTGCTCAAACCAAGCGAAAAAACCTAAAGATTTTCAAAAAGAAAGAATGCCGAATTGTAGAATGTTTGATCCAATCTAAGATATATAAAACAGAAAATGCAATACATAATCTCATCAAGTACTTACATTCCAAATCACATCATGTTTAGTTATAAATTTATTTCAATAATAATAAACTCAAACAATAGAAGGACAACAACCAAAATCTCAACCGCAAAAGCTAACCAGTACAGACAAATTCTCTATAATGGTTTGAAAAAAATCAGCTTCATTCTAGATCCATTAGTTGGAAAAGTTTAGTTAGACAACCTTGCTGTAGATCTTCAACATGCCAAGCAATGAATGAAAACATAAGAGGGAAGGAGTAGAAAATAAAATATAATTTTAATTACTTTTGAAATAGAAAGGCAATCATATTTAAAGTCAGAAGATAGAGAAGCAAAACATTAGTAGTGATAGGGATAAATTTCTGGCATGTCTTTGCCTTGTGAGCAGTATTAAGAGATTCAAAGCTGATGATCCCTATTAAACAGTCTTCTAAACCCAATCTGCTAAAGACCTTTAGCTGCATGGACCCAAAGGGAGCCATATTCACTACACCTAAAGGGAAACCATGACCAGCAAGAAAGAGCATAAGCATAAGGGGGGGGGAA